ACAAATACATTTTAGCAAGTAGGTGAATTTTAAAATTTACAAAATAATGAAGATATTTTATATTTTCATCTAGAACAGGGATTACTTCAATATTCAAGGAAAAAAGGAGTAAGGATTTTAAAAGTAACAAGTTTTATCTTTGAAGCATGCATCTCATGTCAGATTTACCAGTATCTTTGTGCAAGGGTGCCACTCTTCTGACAAGGAAGAGGTTTGCTTTGCTGGTCAAGGTACTCTAGTGGTATTAGTCTCTAGCTTGCTTATCGGTTTTCAGACTTCATTCTTTTTTTGGTTAGGGCTCTATCTTAATCCTAGAGATTTGGAATAGCTGGGCATTTTGTCTTTATCATAACGCTAGAGCTCTTAGAAACAGATCCCGAATCTAATTTTCACTTAGCCTATAGGAGATAAGAATCACTTAACACAACTACTGATTCACAAAAATGCAGGGTTAGTTGAATGATCTGAACTTTTTTCTTTCTCAAGACTTCTACTAGTCCACAAATGACTGCAAGAATTTTACAATCCTTATACTTACATCTATTCCCATACATTTCAAATGTGATAGCTGTTAAGTAACCTAATAACATCTGTCATTTCCATTTCACTTCAATTCCAGTTCACCACGCTTAAGAGAGAATAATGAAGAAAATCACGAAGAAAGAAAACCAATGGGCAAAGACTAACTTTGTCAGATGTTAAAATATATTTTAAAATAAATTATAACAGTGAAATAACAAATATTAAAAGACAAATCAGTGAAATTGAACAGAAATATACTGTACTTGAAAATATACTGTATGTTTAAATGTTGATTTTCAAAGTAGTTAAGTTTTTGATATATTTAATGACAGGGACAAGAGGATTTTCCACCTGGATTCTATGGAAGAAGGAAAGTAAGATCAAATTGTTTATATATTCTAGATACTAGTACTTTGTATGAAGAAGAGCTGGCAGAAACTTTTCCCACTTTCTGGTGGTATATTTTCATTTTGTTAGTGATTTCTTTTTCTGTGCAAAAAGCTTTTTAATAAGATGAGATCCCAGTTGTTGATTCTTTGTGATAAGGGCTTTGTTCATAAAGTCTTTGTGTATAACTGTGTTTTCCAGAGGTCTACCTATTCTATCATCCAGTAGATTTAGTGTTTCTGTTTTAGTATTTATATCTTTGATCCATTTTGACTTTAGTTTAGTGCATGGTGATAGACATGGGTCTAGTTTTAGTCTGTAGCGTGGGGAAAGCCAGTTTTTTCAGTTCTACTTATTAAAGATACCCTTATTCCAGTGAACAGGCTTGATCCATTTGTCAAAAATTAGGTGACTGAGTACATTTGGAGTTGTTTCTGCTTCTTCTACTCTGTTTCACTGATCCTCTGCTCTGGCTGTTTGTTTGTTACTAGTATCATTATGTTTTTATAACAGTAGCTCCATAGCATAATTTGAAGTCAGGAATTGTGATGCCTCCTGTCTTGCATTTGTTGCTTGAGATTGCTTTGCTATTCAAGCCTCCTCTGGTTCCAAATGAATTTAAGGAATGGTTTCTCAAGTGTGAGATATGCTAATAGTATTTTAATTGGGATTACATGAAATCTATATAGAAATTTTGAGAGTATGGCCATTTTCATTATGTTGGTTTTTCCTACTACACAACAGTAAGGGATATCTTTCCTTTTCCTGATGTCTTCTTAGATTTTTCATTTCCAGAGTAATATAGTTTTCAATGTAAAGATCTTTTACTTCCTTTGTTAGATTGATTCCTAAGTATTTCACTATTTTTATGCTATTGTGAAGGGTCTTATTTCCCTAATATCTCTCTCAGTGAGTTTGTTATTCAAGTATAGGAATGCTATTGACTCTTAAGAGTTGCTTTTGTATCCAGCTACACAGCCAAATCTAGTCATTGAGTCTACAAGTCTTTTGGTGGAGTTTTGGAGCACTTCTATATCGAGTGTCATGTTACCTGCAAATAATGATAATTTAATTTCTACATGTCCCATCTTTACTTCTTTTATTTCCTTCCCATTTCTAATTGCTCTGGTCAATGTCCAGAAGTATATTGAAAAAAAATCAACCCCTCCATATTCAAAGACCCAACCCAAAAATGGGCATCTGAGTTGAATAGACACTTCTGGAAAAAAAAATACATGAAAAAGTGTTCAACGTTACTGGTCATTCAAGAAATACAAATTAAAGTAACACTGAGACTCCATTTTATTCCAGAAAGAATCATCAAGAAAACAACTAATAACAAATGTTGGCAGGGCTGTGGGGAGAAAGAAACACTTCTCTACTGTTGTTGGGAGTGTAGGCTGGTGCAAATCAGGGTAGAGATTCCTCAATAAAGTAGGATTAGAGGTTTCATTTTACCCAGATATTCCCCCTTGGGTATCTTCCCAGAAGAAATGAAAGCATCATACTATAGAGAAATAAGCACACCCATGTCAATAGCAGTGCAGTTTGTAATAGCTAAATCTTAGAAGTAACCACATGTCCATCAACCAAAGAATAGATAAAAAGTAAGTTTTTTAAATATAATAGAATATTAGTCATAAAGAAAGAAAAAATTTAAGCATTTATAACTAAATGAATGGACCTTGAGACCATAATCATAAGTGAGTTAAATCAGGCACACATGTAAATATTGTACTATCTCTCTCTGGTGTGAGAAACAGAAAGTGTAAATAAGAACAAAATTGTACAAAAAACAATGTGAAATAGGAAGAAACCTTTAAAAAGGAAAAGGGAACTAGGGAGGGGAAGGGTGATAGGAAGGAAAGGAAAAAAACAAAATGAGAAAAGAATTAAATGAAAACAGAACTTTGTGAATAGGGAGGAGAATGGGGTTTGAAAATAGGGGATGAGAATGGGGTGGAAAAGGGAATCAAGATATATCACGTCCAGGTACAAATTCCCTATAATGAATATGACATTATGCATACCTAAATTGTACCAATAAACTTAAATAAATTATAAATAAATACATAAACCATAAAAAAGAAAACTAAGATCAAGCATGATTCCTACATGAATAAATAAATGAATGATAATCATTCAATGAATCAATCATTCATGAAGGAGTACCTTAGAGAGTTTGAAAGAGATTGGAAAGTTATTTTTGGAAAGAGAGGCAGAGACAGACACAGAGGCAGAGAGACAGAGATAGAGATACACAAAGAGAGAGAGAGAGAGAGAGAGAGAGAGAGAGAGAGAGAGAGAGAATTATGTAGGTCATGTGGGTCATGGAAGGAATTTGAATTCTATCAAGCCATACCACTAATTATGCCATTTCCTACTTAACTGCCCCTAGTCTTTCTCCCTGGTCATAAAATAAATTCCAAATCCTACATCTTTTATTTCAGCTGCACAGGAATGTTAGTCTTTGGTGGTCTCCAGAGAAGAGGATTCCAAAAACTATGTCTTAAATTGGGTCGGGGACATAATTAAGTAAAGGATTGAGGAAAGTTGGTCGGTGGAAAAAAATCTGAATGAAGATTCACAAGCTGACCTGTCTAGAACTGAGATACAAAACACAGGCTAGACCATAGTATGTATTTTTCTTTTTGTTTTGTTTTGTTTTTGTTACTGGGGATTGAACTCACAACCTCATGCTTACCAAGCAGGTGCTTATGCCACTGAGCTAAATTCCTAGTGAGGCTAGACTACAGAAGAAAGTAAATTTGCTTAAAATCCTGGGGATAAATCCTGAAGAGTCTAAAAGATTTTATTAGAACTTTTAATTTAATTATACTGGCATTTGAGGATTATTTTAATGATATTTTACTTATTTATTTATTTGTACTGGGAATCAAACTTATGACTTGTACTTGCCAGGCAGGCTTTTGTGCCACTGAGCTAAACCCTGGGTCTTTTATGACATTTTAAAAGAGAACTAAAATAATAAAAATGCTTTTTAAGGAATATGATTCATTCTACAATGTATAAGTTAGGTCTATCTAGGAACTATATTATTTTCTTAAGGCTTCTGATATTAGCAAAGTAAATCAGAAACATCAGAGGAGTTTGTAGTTTGTAGTTGACTGAACTGTAGATACTTCTTTTGATTAATACTGCAAACCCCATAAAATGAGACTCATTTGTAGTTTTAGCACAAGAACAGACAGAATTTTATAGTGAACAATCAATATAATATCTTTGGGAAAATTTCCTGTGTCCTTTTAGAAAACATTTTTTGATGCTGAAAAATACAAAGATTGATTTTCACTCTCTTTTGTAAGTATATGTGACACTAGGTTTTGAGGACAATTACAAAGGCAAGAATTTTCTGTTGTTTTCAGCTTTAATTCATTTGGCAAAAATACTGGTTAAAGGTAATTAAGACAAAGTACATTTAAAATTATTACTGTAGCATTAGATTAGCTAGTTTATGACAATTTGCGTTTGTATAACACTCTCAAAGCCTTTGATCTAGTGAAGAAAAGTAAGATTTCTAGACTGAAATGAAATTGCTATGTTCCTTGGGCATGATAAATTCGAGTCCTTTTTCACTGAAAATATACAGCATTTAAAAGAAAGAAGATCTAGAACAGCGGTACTGTGATTCTTTTGAAATGTTAGATCTAATTTATTAATTCTAACCTTGTTTTTAATTTAATTTAATTTATTTACTTTTTTGAGACAAGGTTCCCTATGTAATTCAGGTTGGTTTTGAACTCACCATTTAGCCCAGGCTGATCTTAAACTCAAGATGATCCTCTGCCTCAGCCTCCCAAGTGCTGAGATTACAGGCATGTATGGCCACACTCAGGTGGTTCTAGTTTTGGAGAAATAAATTAACAGGATAAGAATGTTTTTTAGATGTAAAATATATCATGTCCTAAAAATATAAAAAGATTACATTTTTTCTTAAGAGAATAAAAATTTGGACCAAATAATTGGAAAACATAAAAACTTTTATTCAAATGACAAGATATGATTCCAAAGCTCATTGTTTTTCCTCTGTAAAGATCAAGGCAAAAAGTTTAAATTAATAATATATATGAGTGCTCACTTCAGCAGCATAAGTACTAAAACTGGAAAGATACAGAGATTAGGATGTCCCCTGCACAAGGATGACCCACAAATTTGTGAAGCGTTCCATATTTAAATAATAACTATAAAACAGGGGTATCTATTCTGTTGTAGACAATGTGAACTTCAATCCAAAAATGATCAAAAGAGATAAAGAAGATCACTACATACTTGTTAGGGGACTAAATCAAGAGGAAGAGTTAACAATCATAAATATATATGCACCAAATACAGGAGCACTCAACTATATAGGACAAATGCTAATAGACAAGAAAACCAAACATGCAATAATACAATTGTAACAGGAGACTTTAATACCTCATTGTCACCGAGATAGATCATCTAGACAAAATTCAGCAAAGAAATAACAGAACTGAATCAAACCTATGAACAAATGAACCTACTAGATGCTTACAGAGTATTCCACCCAACATCAGAGTACACATTTTTCTCAGCTGCACATGGAACTTTCTATAAAATAGACCATAAATCAGCCCATAAATTATGCTTAAGTAAATGCAAAGGAAATGGTATTATCCCATGCATATTATCTGACCATAGTGCACTAAAATTGGAAATTAATGACAAAAGAAACTACAAAACCTACATAAACATGTGGAAATCAAATAGCAACCTCCTGAACAGCCAATAGGTTACAGGAAGAAGAAATTAAACAATATCTACAGTTCAATAAAATGCATATACAACACAATGAAACCTGTGGGATGCAGTGAAAGCAGTCCTAAGAGAAAAATACATAGCAATGAATTGTCACATTAGGAAAACAAAATGAGCACAAATAAACCACCTAATGCTGGACCTCAAGCTTCTAGAAAAAAGAAGAGCAAGTCAAGACAAAAGTTCATAGAAGGAAGGCAATTATAAAGAGTAGAGCAAAAATTAATGTGATTGAGTCTTAAAAAAATACAAAGAACTAATGAATCAAAGACTTAGTTTTGCCAGGGATTTAGCTCAGTGGCAAAAGCACCTGCCTGGCAAGTGCAAGATCGTGAGTTCAATCCCCAGTACTAAAAAAAAAAAAAAAAAAAAAAAGAGAGAGAGAGAGTTGGTTCTTTGACAGAATAAACAAAATTGATAAAATTGATAAACCCTAACCAAACTTACCAAGAAAAAGAATGAAAAACTCAAATTCATGCAATAATGAATGAAAATTACTACAGATCCTGTGTAAATTCAGAAGATCGTGAATACCTGCCTTGAAAATCTTCACTCACATAGGCTGGAAAACACAGAGGAAATGGACAGATCCTTAGGAACACATGAATTAGCAAATCTAAATCAAAAAGATAAAAAATTTTTGAAGAACCCACTATCAGTTACTGAAATTGAAAACGTAATTAAAAACTTACCAACAAAGAAAAGCCCAGTTCTTGATGGAGTCACATCTGAATTCCACAAAAATTTAGAGAAGATTTAATGCCAATACTCCTCAGACTTTTTAAATAAATTGAAAAGGAAGCAATTCTCCCTAACTCATTTCTGGAGGCAAGCATTACTCTGACACCAAAAACAGAGAATAGACCCAACCAAAAAGGAGAACTATAGGCCAATCTCCCTGATGAACATCAGTGTAAAAGGTCTCAGTAAAATACTAGCAAATAGAATGCAGCAAATCATCAAAAACATTATACGTTATGACCAAGTGAGGTTTATCCCAGGAATGTAGGATGCTTCAACATATGCAAATCAATAAATTTAATACACCACATCAACAGAGCCAAACACAAAAACCACATAATCAACTCAATGGATACAGAAAAAGCTTTTGATAATGTCCAACATTTGTTCATGATAAAAACTCTGTAGAAAACTGGAATAGATGGTATCTACCTCAATTTGATAAAAGCCGTCTATTACAAACCAACAGCCAACTTCATACTAAATGAACAAAAACTGTAAGCTTTCACTCTAAAATCAGGAACAAGACAAGGATATCTACTATCACCACTACTATTCAATATAGTTCTGGAAACTTTGGCCAGAGCAATTAAATAAGAGAGAAAAATAAAAGGAATAATGATAGAAATGGAAGAAGTTAAATTATCACTATTTGCAGATGTCAGATCCTCCACATAGAAGATCCCCAAAACTCCATCAAAAGATTACTAGAGTTAATAAGCAAATTTAGCAGTGTAGCTGGATACAACATTAAAAAATCAATATCATTCCTGTACACATACAACAAACTTACTGAGAGAGAAATTATAGAAATAATACCTTTCACGATAGCATCAAAAAAAATGAAATACCTAGGAATCAACCTAACAAAGGTTGTAAAAAATCTGTACATTGAAAATTACAGTACTCTGAGAAAGGAAATTGAAGAGGATATCAGAAAATGGAAAGTTATTTCTTGAGTTTGGATAGGAAGAATCAATATTATGAAAATGGCTATACTTTGAAAACAGTTGTACAGATTTAATTCAATCCAGTCAAAATACCATTGGCACACCTCACAAATCTAGAGAAAACATTCCTAAAGTTTGTTTGGAAACAGAAGGGATTAGAGTGCCACTCAGTCCATTCTGTCTATTTTCCCAGGAGAACTGAAAATAGAATATCCCCGCAATATATGTGCACCTATGTTTATAGAACAATGTGTAATAGCTAAATCTTAGAAACAATTCAAGCTATAAAGAAAGAAAGGTGAACTTGAGACTTTTATAGGTAAATTGATGCAACTTGAGATCATACTCATAAATGAAATAAATCATTCTCATGTGTTAATATCATTTTGTCTGAGTATAAAAAAACTGAAAGAGTAAGATCCAAAATATATAATTGATATTGTAAAAGGGAAAGGGAAAGAAGCAGCTCAAAAGGAAAGAACAACTGGGATAAGGGAAAGAGAAAAGAAAGAATGGAAAATATTATATATATATATATAATTATATATAAATATATATAGATTAGTAGTATAGCTATGTGGCTTGAATATATATATACAAGCTATATATGCAAGACATATATATATATTCACAAAGTTGGATACATATATATATACACATACATGCAAGCTACATAACTATACTACTAATTTCTGTTTGTTCATCAAAAAGAATGATTTTTGCTTTCATCGTTCAATTGTTGGATTGATTATGCATGCCAATATCTTGTAATCTGAACAACTACTTTGAAGATAATATGAAATATTATCCAGTGTTTATCTCCTGTTATTTTGTTTTGAAATTCTGTGCCATTGTTTTTATTCTTTTTTCATTTTAAAATAAAAAGAAAAAAGAAAAGAGAAACTGAGATAAGGGAAAGTGGAAAGAAGAAAGGGAAAAGAATATATATATATATATATAAAATGTAGTTAAGAGAATTATAGAGCTAGGTTTTCTTAGTTCATTAAAAAAAGTTTTTGCTAATATTGTATGGACAGTCTTATACTTTGAATACTGTGGAGATATTAATATGCAACTGTCACACTAGTCAGTTTTGAAACTGTTTTATTATTGTTGCTATTTTTTGTTTCTCTCTTTGAAGTAAAAAATACATTTATCATGATACTTCACTTCTGAACTAAAATCCTATATAGCAGGACTTTGTCATTCTAATCATCAGAATCTAAAGAATTTATGGAGACATGACAGATATGGCACTGAGATTTCTAGAATAATAGTAACACTTAAGAGATTTGGTTGCTTTCAAAATTGCCTGTGTTTTGATGACAAAAGGACTTTCTAAGAATGAAAAAACTCCAACAATTTGGCTGCTATTTGCTGATTTTTGAAAGCATTGTTTTGAACTGTCAAATGATTTACACACTGTTCGAACATGTAAAAATTGATGAATAATTTGCATCATTTGTGTTACTATAGTTGTTGAAGGTTTCAGAAATATGTGCCAAATAAACCTTCCAAATGTGCAATAAAAATATATGCCCTGGTAGGTGCAAAGACATTTTACACTCTGAATTTAGAAATTTATTCTGAAACTCAATCATCACATCTTTATTTGTCCTGTAATAAACCACTGTGAATAGACGTGTTGCACCTATTTCAAAAAGTAACCCAAATATTACATTCAACAGTTGGTTCCCTAGTTACACATTGGTGTTATATTTTCTGAAATAACATCAGTTGACCAGCACAGGAACTATTCACAAGAACAAAGCTGAGATTCCTGAAAAAGGGGTTGTAAATTCACAACAGAGAGATACACAGTACAATCTTTGGATTTCAGAGAGACATAACATTGGCTTTCTATAAGGCAAAGAAAAACAAAGTAGTATTGATGCCATTAACATTACACTCTGATGATAGGATTGATAGTGAGGCTGGGTATGGTGGTGCACACCTGTAATCCCAACACTTAGGAGGTTGAGGCAGGAAGATCCTGTGAGTTCAAGGGCAGTCTGTGCTATATAGGGAGTTGCAGGCTAGCCTGTCTCAAAACAAACAAACAACAACAACAATGAAAAGATTACTACTGAATTCTCAAAGCAAAGAAAGCCAGAAATTTTCCCATTTCACAACAAAAAGAAAGGTGGAGTCGATATTGAAGAGTAATACAGCAACTATGATGTACTTCAAAGCACAATGCATTGATCAATGGTTGAGTTTTACTTGATCTTAAACATGTCAGGCATAAATAGCTTCATAGTTTACCAAGAACATAACAAACATGAAATATCACAGAGAAATTTGCTTACAAGATTGGGACTGGAATTGATTTGACTTATTGTAACAGAGGAAGAACAGTATCTATCTGCCCTAAGAACTCCTCAAAATAATTTTGGAGCAGATCAGTGAACAGACAGATGAAACAGACAGAAAACAGGAAGATCAGCAAGATGTCAAGTGTGTCCATCCAAATAATATAGAAATAATATAGAAAAACAAAACACATGTGCTATCAGTATAAGTGAAACTTGTGTATGGAACATGTTGTTCTCATGTGTGGAAACTGCCATAGATGTGCTAATTGAAGAAAAATTATTTTTATGGTAGAGTTTTATTTGTATTTCATTGTAGTTCATATGGAAATTTATTTCTGATGTTATTTTTAGATTAACAAAGAGTTGATATACAAAATATTGATGCGTATTCT